TCCATAAACTAATTTCGATTTTGAAAATAGCTACTGTCGCTAGAAACTTGCCATGACGACATCAGCCCTCTTTGTTGCCATTTTATTGAAAAATTGCTCTTTATTCAAAATCTGAGCTAGATAGGTATAGGACACCCTAATATATGTAGTTTGAAAGAGCATTTAAATCTGTTTCGATCTATTTTAAAAAATAGGTTGTCGTATTTGAAATAACAAAGTTTTTATGTAAAATAAATATTTAAAATAAATCATCAATTTTTGGTACCCCTGTATAAATTTAAGGCAGCAATACAATTTTTCAGTAAAGTTTATTTCTCTATCTTTAAACTCAGCACAAGAATTAATTCTAAAAAGTAATGTACAGGGTGTTGATAATCTATTCCATTGTAGCATGCATATTTAAATATCTTTAAATATCTCAAAAACCAAAGCTTGTAAACATATTCATATATAATAACCCTTATAATACATGCCTTATTTTGTGTCCAAGGATCCAAATAAAAAATAAAATATCGGGTGTTCCATAAGAAAAAATATAATTTTGCTGTAAATCTTAGTTCTGACATACCCTGTACATTTAAAAATAATTTTAAATTATGCACATGGTCTTCCCACATACGCCCATAAAATATTTTGTTTCTACATATTTCCGTTTTCGTATAATCAACCGACGCGAATGAGTTGCGCCACCCCGTATATAGGTGTTCCATTTAAAAAAATATTCGCGATCCACTCACACTTTTTTGAGCCACCCTTTAGAAGTTCAAATATTTTCCTCAAATACATCCTAATACATACTTTATGTCTGGACTACAAAATTCATAAGTTTTTTATTATTAGAACTACAGATGCCCGACGTACTATTGCCGGACCCTGTAGAATCAAGGTTATTACATTCTTGGTGATAAATTAAATATTAGTATTGTGAACATTTTATTCCGCCCGACTCTAGTTCGACATATGCTCAACGAATTGTGATCCTAAACCGACTAATCAAATGTAAAGTTTCAGGCATCCGCGTCCGCTTCTCGCAAAAAACAAAAATTTTGTTTTTTAGGAAGCATCGCGCTGAACATCTAGGTGCGAGGCGAGGTGCGAGGCTCTAGTATGTTTTGACGCATAAATTTGAACATGTTTGATTCAGCATCGCCGCATGGCGAGGTGAATGGCGCGCATCGCATCGAGATGAAATGCCCCGCACTATGTTTGTACGATAGTCGCGATGCATCCTATTCGCCGTTTTAAAACAGTGCGCGTAGGATGCATCGCGGCTAGCATCCTGGCGAGCAGCGCGGCTAGCATCCTGGCGAGCAGCGCGGCTAGCATCCTGGCGAGCAGCGCGGCCACCATCTTGGCGAGCATCGCATCGAGATGCCTCACTATGTTTGTGCCCTAACTCACTCATTTCCAAACATTATGATTGCATTGTGCATATTATTATCAATCCCAGTTTCTGTAGCTATACAGGGTTGTTCACCACATACGACACGGAGTATTGTAGCTAAACGATTAGATTTTTACAAATTGTAAGTTTTGTGTTCGTTGAAGGACTATTAGAGCTACAATTTAAAAATAATTTTACAAGATACAGAGTGTCCCAAATAAATAAAAAATATCAAAGTTGTATTTTTTTAAATGGAACACCGTATATTATTACATTTTAGTTTCTACGATTAAAATAAAGGTAAATTTGATTAAGATTTATTATACTTAAACCTTACCGTTTTTGAAATATTTTCAATTTTGTGAAATTGCAGTAAAAACTTTAAGGCTTCATTTCTCCAAGGGTATCAAAGTTTTTAATACTAAATATTTACTGAAGTTTATTTATTGATCAGTTATTGTGTTGCAATAATAAAAATTATACTACCTTATACAGAGTGTCTAAAATTACATTTTAAATAATTACTAGATTTAAACGGCAATAACTTGTTTAATTTAAATGGAACACCCTGTATATTTTATGACAATCAGATGCACAATTTAATTGTCTATCAAACTGTATTATACCATTTTTTACCTATCTCTTCAAGTTTCCGTAGAAAATGCATTTTCTTGTAATTAAAAACTCATTTATCAATATACACATGGAATACTGACATTTTAGATTATTTTTAAAAATGTGGCAACTTTTTAAAGAGAACAGATACCAATATTGTCGATCTACTTTGTTTATTTCATTAAAAAAATATAAAAAGCTGTTTAAATATTTGTTAAAGAATGATTAATATGATTCTAGTATTCGAACTACATTAATTGACTGTTGCGTTGATTTGTAATAATTGCTGAAATAGTAAAAAAACTAAATTTTGTATGTGTATTAGGCAATGTGGTAAAAAGTAACACCTTAAAAATGATATTTCATTTTTTGACAAAAGCTTATATTTATAACAACAGAGACATTCATTTTCATAACTTATTATTATATTGATTTCTGATTCAAATCCACATCTATTGAGAATAATTTATTAACGAACAATTAAGTATGTAATTAATTAGTATTTGTGCGGAAATAATGGTGGTATATTTAATTATAGTGGTATACTCTTTTATAAAGATTTAAATAGTTCTCTTCTTGCATACAAATGGCCTAGTAATATTATCATTTTGCTAAAAACGATAATATTACTAGCCTGTACATTTTGTACATTTGTCGCTTTAAAAACAATCTAAAAGGTCAATATTCCATGGGTATATTGATAAATGAGGTCTAAATTATAAGAAAATGCATTTTCTACGAAAACTTGAAGGGATAGGTAAAAAATTGTATAATACAATTTGATAGACAATTTAATTGTGCATCTGATTCTCCTAAAATATACAGGGTGTTCCATTTAAATTAAACAAGATATAGCCGTTTAATGCTAGAAATTATTTAAAATAAATTTTTAGACACTCTGTATGAGGTAGTATTATTTTTATTATTGCAACACAATAACTGATCAATAAATAGACTTCAGTAAATATTTAGTATTAAAAACTTTGACACCCTTGGAGAAATGAAGCCTTAATTTTTTTACTGCAATTTCACAAAATTGAAAATATTTCAAAAACGGTAAGGTTTAAGTGTAATAAACCTTAATCAAATTTACCTTTATTTTAATCGTAGAAACTAAAAATGTAATAATATACAGGGTGTTCCATTTAAAAAAATGCAACTTTGATATTTTTTATTTATTTGGGACACTCTGTATCTTGTAAAAATATTTTTAAATTGTAGCTCTAATAGTCCTTCAACGAACCCCAAACTTACAATTTGTAAAAATCTAATCATTTAGCTGCCATACTCCGTGTCGTATGTGGTGAACAACCCTGTATACAGCCGAGAGGTCATTCTCTAAATTAAAATTGATAAAAAATTATTTGCGATCTAGAATGGGCCACGAACGGTTAAAAAATCTTGCAATCATTTCTATAGAGTCTGACTTTTTAAACCAACTTGATATGGAAGATCTTCTATATCACCTCTTATTCGTAAACTCAGTTTTTTAATAAACTTTGGTATTTGGCATATTATACAGGGTTAAACATAACGCAATATGATATACGCTGTGTCAATGACAGTATGAATGGACGTATACAGACAGTTATAACAGCCAAGGGCCGCAATAAAAGTATTAGGGTATTTTTTACAATGTTTTCTTCCTGATTGTATACTTGAGTATTACAGATGTTTTCTTTAATATCGTTAGTTCTGTTATCGTTATTAATGTTTATTAAAACACGCACTATATCGTTAGTCTTTAACGATTTTTTTTCAAATTCAGTATAGAGTATCCAATGCAGTGTAATATGACGTTAAGACAATAGTCATCAAAACCATCTCATTATATTAAAAAATTACATCAAAAAGTAATGATAATTAAAAAAATTACAATGATATATACAAATTGATTGTTATCAGTTCATTTCGCTCTTAAAAATTAACCAAAGCATATATTGCCATGAATCAAATAACAAAGTGCTCAGGAGTCATGGTTCTAACAGTAAAATTATATTTTAGGAAAATTTACAAACGAAATTATTTCACAGGGTGTTTTAAAGTTAAGGTAAATAAAACAACCTCTCGATTATAATATGTGAAATACCCCCTGTATAAGGTGTCAAATACTAGACTATACTACTAATACTAGCTGAGTTTGGTTTGGTTTGGGTTGATTATATCAACTTTATTTCGTAAAGTTGATATAATTATATACAGCTTGCTAAAAAAATCATGAATATAGGGCTAAAAATAACAAACATAACACTTTAAATTTGACCAAAATTTTCTCCGTTGCGTTTTTTTTGCATCTGAGTGTATAAAGATAGATAAAAAGAGTGCCAACACACATTTAAAAATAAATTGTAAATAATTATTTAATAGCTATAGAGAAATATGGATATAGGATCTAAGATGTAAAATGTAGAGAATTGTATTTATACTAATTAAAACTTATTATTATTATCAAAATAATAACAACACCAATTTGCCTGCCTTCCCAGTCCAAGACAATTTTTTAACTTAGAATGGACTAATCTAACAGTTCTATTGTTTCCAAATAGATCATTTGTAAGATATTGATTGACCGATATTTAAAGTAATTTCTTGTGAATACATTAGACTTCTAAATGATAGGGATAGATTAGCACTAGCTAGTGTATGCTGACATTCTAACTTCTGCAATCCCTTTTCCAATTTATTTTCTAGTACTTTCCATACTTTTACTGCATACTGGGACAAAAAGGTGTTTTGTCACTTATTCGCCCTGACACTTCAATCTGCAGTATTTTGTACTTTGAACATCAGATTGTAATTAACTTGATTGTTAACTCAACACCATTTCCAAAAAACTTTCATTTATTTTTTTGACACTCTTTCATCTGGTGGGTGATTTTTTTGGATAAAATTGCAGCATCGACAAAGTTTACAGAATAAAATATATCAATCAAAGGCCAAACCCTGGTATAAAGTGTACGCAACAAAGCCCCACTTGAAATAAAAGTTACAGCTTACTTACTCGAGGATACTGTAATCGCTGGACCACTTCGTCAGATATAAGCGGAATAAGTCCTATTCTATGAGCTAAAAATTCATCACTGAGTACTGTTGAATTTGCTTCTAATTTTACCCAGTCAATAGCCAATGTTGGTGTTTCCGCAATAAGAACACGGCGAATACTATTGGCAACGCTAATAATAAAATATAATATAAAACAACAGAACTATATCAATAAAGTATATGTACCTCAAGTCGGTGTCTTCAATATAAAACTTAACGTTCTCATCAGTTAAATCAGTAATATGAACAGATGGTTGATTAGCGTAGGGCATTATGAAAGTTTCACTTTTTAGAAATATATAATAAAATCACCGTGGAAATATATGGTAGGAAAGACTTTCAAATATTATGAAAAAAATGAATTATTTCACCTATAACAGCAAACAACCATCAAACACCAACAGCAACCACAAAACTAAGAAACCATAAAAAAATAAATTTTAAATAACCTCAAACCTCTGTTGGGTATTTTGGTTATAGATTAAAAGTGTTTGCCTTGTACCATGGATTAAAAGTTCTAGCTAGGGATGTGTCAAGGATGTGTCGGACATAGTGGCTGTTGTGAGGTAAAGGATGTGTACGTCAAATAAGTATGAATAAACTGTTAAGAAAAGGCATTAACGGGTAAAGTTTGATATCTACTCAGGAAGAGACTCAGGTCTAGGTGCTCGGACGAAAACAGGTTGTTTCGGTGGAGTATTGATGCTTTGGTTTCAACAATTTTTTTCCACGAGTTTCGTTTTTTTAGTTTAATGAATGACATCCCTTTTTCATTCGAAACACTTCGCTGACCGACCGCTGAGAATTTTGCTCAGCCGCTGACCGTTGTTTTTAAAAATAGACCGTTCAGGGAAGTCGCTTACTCAGCCACTCAACCGCTGACCATCCCTGAACGAGTGTCTGGCCTTGAGCTTCACCTTGGCGTCGTCGCTCGGTTATCTTCGTTATCCCGCCATTTACAAATTTTTCTACAATGTTGCCAACGTTCATATTATGTCGTATTTTTAATTTTTAATAAAATTTTAGTTAATTTTAAGTGGTTAATAAAAATAAGGTAATTTTTATTTTTTTTATTTTTTTTTAATATAAGTCTAAAATATTTTTTCCTCTATTAAAATGGAATTTAGTTTATTATAATACCGTATGATCGAAAAAAAACGGAGTCCAGTTGGCTGGGAAATGAACATCAATGACATTTCCCATATAAATTTACATATAAAATGACAGCGATCTTCATTCCATAGCCATCGCTGACGCCGTTTTTTCTCGATCATACGGTATATTATTTCAGTATAATAAATATTGAAAATTTTCTTTTTTTCTGCAACCTTTCCGGAACCGTGCGACGTATTTTAGGTACCTCAGATCCGTTTTTTCCTTATTAACTTTTACAATTTTTATTTCTAACTTTTTTCCTTTCACGCAATCCTAGAAAATACAGAGTTGTTCAGCACATACGACACGGAGTATTGTAGCTAAACGATTAGATTTTTGCAAATTGTAAGTCTTGGGTTCGTTGAAGGACTGTTAGAGCTACAATTTAAAAATATTTTTACAAGATACAGAGTGTCCCAAATAAATAAAAAATGTCAAAGTTGCATTTTTAGTTTCTACCGTTTCTATTATTAAAATAAAGGTAAATTTGATTAAGGTTTACCCACAGGGTTTACCGCATTTTAATCTTACCGTTTTCGAAATATTTAGGTTTTTGTCAAAATACAGTAATAATTTTAATGCTTCATTTCTGTAGGCATATTTAAGTTTTTATAACCAAATATTGTACTGAAGTTTTTCTATTTACTGAATTTCGTGTCGTTGCAATGATAATTATACTACACCTTATACAGAGTGTCTAAAAAAATATTTTAAATAATTACTAGCTTTAAACGGCAATAACTTGTTTAATTTAAATGGAAGACTCTGTATATTTTATGAGATAGATGCACAATTTAATTGTCTATGAAATTGTATTATACCATTTTTTACCTATCTCTCCAAGTTTTCGTAGAAAATGCATTTTCTTATAATTCAGACTTCATTTATCAATATACCTATTGAATATTGATATTTTAGATTATTTTTAAAGATGTATCAAATTTTTAAAGAGTACACATACTAATATTGCCTTTATAGTTCGTTTATTTCATTAAAAAAATAAAAAAAACTGTTTAAATATTTGTTAAAAAGGACCAGTTAATATGATTCCAGTATTCAAACCACATTAATTGACTGTTTGCGTTGATTAATAATAATCGCTGCAAATACTAAAAAACTGAATTTTGTATGTGTATTAAACAGTGTGGTAAAAAGTAATACATTAAAAAATTTATTTCATTTTTTGACGAATTAACTCCTTCTTAGTGAGCATCTATATAATATGTTGAATAATGGGCAAACTTAGGCCGCAGTAAGAGAGGATAAAAATATGGTATCACCTCCGAATTCTTGACAATCACAATTTTAACAGTGACTATAGAGATATATGTAAAAAACAAACAATTCTTTTTTTGTTGATTACCGCAGGTGTAGTTATCACTCTGTAAAGGTGATTTTTTATTTTTCGAAAACTAAATTGCCACCTCTAACCGTAAAATCATGGCGAAAGAACATATATTTTTCGAAGAAAATGAATATGACCGTTTTTAAACTGCTTGAAAAGCCCTTTTAAATGCTTTTCTAAAGGTCTTTTCAAGTTCGTAACTCAAAAACTCGAGGAGGTGTGATAAAAATAAAACGGTCACCTCATGCATGCAACAAAACTGTTTTTTAAAAATAATTTTAAAAAACACATTTTTTGAATAAAACGTTTTCATGAATTTCTCTATCAATAAATTTCATAGACTTGGTTATCAAACCGTGTTCTCGTAGATTACTTAAATACCTACAAATTTTCTAAAAAAATAAAAATTAACACATTTTTTGGACACAACAAAATAATATTAACTAGACAAAACTAGAAAACGTCATTTTTACTGCATCACAAGCTTTCATCACAAGCAAATAAAAATTAATACGTAGCCGAGAGTCATAATTCAGGATTTCTCGGGGAGCGCTCAGCAGTATGGGGGGGGGGGCGGCACCCCTGTAATTACGCCATGGTTGCATGGACGAATAATATATGTTTTGTTGTGTATTTTACATGTATTGTGAATACCAAAATTTACTAATTACAGTAATAATTAAAAAAGAAGTTGGTATTTATTATTGAAAAACTTGAAATATAATTGTCAGTGAAATGTGTTAAACTGCTAAACTCCATTATTACTAACTTTACAGGAGAGTAAAGAAACGGTACAAAAAATATGTACACATGTAGCAAGTATATTCATGCATAAATATGATAAAGGGATAACAATATTTGTTTTGGAACTTGGAACAATAAAACTCATATTTTGTTACAAATTTAACTTAAAATTATATATTAAACGTATTATTTAATTAAAGTCAAAAATGGAGTTAGCAAGTTAACATGTCTCACTGACGATAAGTAATAGGTTGCAAAATAGACAAGACAATAAGACAAAGAGGTATGAGAATGAAGAATGGCCAAAATTTAACTTGTGTTTAGCCTATGTTGATAGTATTCAACAATGTAACAGATTAGTAGTACTTATTATTAATGTAATAGATAAGTAGTGCTTAAAATAATCAATAAACTTTAATGTTAATTTACTTTTAATATATATTTACGCTAATTATAATTCTTATCTACATATTCAGTAACAATTTGTTAATGATGATCTTCTTTATAAAATCGTAATCCACAATATCCACAAGAATGGTTTCCTGGTTTGTCCTAAAAATAAATATTGATCATTTAACTATTAAGAAATATAGAACAGGGTGTCCCATTACCGCATGTTTTATGGGGTTTCTCGTTTACGAGTATGGTTTTCACATCACTGTGTTACTTTTTTATAAAACTAAAGGTGCTAGCCTTCTAGTTCCTGAAATAGAGGGCGAATTTTAAAGTGCTGCATTTTTTATCCTCTTCGTATCTTGGTTAACTTATCAAAAAGATGAAAAGTGAGTTCTGTAGAGTTTATCACATAGAATCCAGTGACATAAACAGTTTTTCAATGTGAGCTGTTATTTTCGAAATAAAACAGAAACAAATCTGTGTACAGCATCTTTAGTTTCATAAAAAGTAGCATAGTAATGCGAAAATCGCATCTTTGTTCCTCTGCTTATAAAAGAGAAATCCTGTAAAGTAAAGTATACGAAAATGGAACACCCTATACACTACATTAGCTGAAAATAACCTCCTTATAGAATTACTAAAATTGGTATTTAAGAACCATATGACTGATATTGATATTCTGAAAGAATTACTTACCAAATTTATATAGACTTTTGGATGACCCTCTGGACCACTGCCACCATCACACCACACTACTCGTTCTTTACATGCCTTTGGAGGAACTTCTGCTATAAGATTAATTGCAAAATTTGGATTTACATGCTTCGGCCTATCCACGAATCGTGCTAATCTATAATCATTTGCTTCCCATTTCTAGAAATTTTCAAGTTGGAAATTGATTTTGTTTTTCATAAAATAAATATAATACCTGCCCCGTATGAGTAACTTTTTCTTGTGGGACCCAATCAGACATACATCTAGCTACCACACCAGTGGTACTTCTATTTTTGGACAAAAGGCTCTTCCACATATTTACTGATTTCGACATCACCAAAAAATTTATTATTTTTCAAAAATTTCTGATTATGTCATTATGTCATTCTAAATTCCAACATTCCACAGACTTGCTTTGTAAAATAAAATTTAAACCACAGATTCTCGATTCATTCATAATAGAGATGGCTTATGGCTGATAGTTCATAGGAACTACCGGGAATCGGGAACTACCTTCAAAAATCTAAAATTGTCTTATGTAAAAAAGTACATTTTTAGGTGAATAGTTTTAATTAAACATCGAAAAAGCTTAAATTAAACCTTACCATAGATAAAGATGTAGTAGGGCTGAGTAAATTTCTGTCAGTGTGATTCTTCCAAATTCTTCACTTAATCCTTTTTTTGTTTTTACGCATTTTCGTTCTATGGGTTCTTATAATTAGTTCTGTTATCTGTGGCATAAAGTAACACCAAAGGTATACTTTATGATCTGTGGTTCTTATAGTACTGTTTTTGTTTTTTAACCTGTGTTTAGTGTTTTAAAATGGTTTTAAACAAAAGTCGTTGAGTATAACTCCTATTATTATACAAACTTGCATTTTTAAATATATAATAGCTTTAGGTTCTATTACCTTCTTTAGCTTATTAGTCTTTATTAATAGGACATAGGACAAAAGGTGGGATTCTGTAATAATGATTTTTAACGTAATATTGTTAACATTACTTTTATTAAATGGAATTATTTGTATTGATATGGATCCATTAGGGTATATTTTGTATTGTCCATGTATGGGTAAGTTATTGTCCTAACTGTTATAATAATAATACTTTTATTATTGCCATCAAAAGTACAAAACAATGGAACATAAGCAACGCTGCGAAAGAAAAAGTAATGCTCTTGAATATACCACTTCGGCAAGAAAAGTCTTGGGTCGGTACTTACAAGTCTAGGAGCGCATCGTTATGGCGATCTTGTAAGTGGGAAGAGAAGAAATTTCATGTGCTTGAGAAAAAACTTGCTTTTGTTTATTCACTACATCTTATTGTACTGAGCTTATAATACTTTTTACATTATATTTACATATACATTTACAAACATTTACATAATACATAATAAAATAAACATTTTTAGTTTTTCATTTTGAAATATCTATTAAACATTACACATTTAGAAGATTATTTCACATATTCATTAAAGTTAAAATTTTCCAAAATCAATTAGTTTAATATTTTTTTGTTTTACATACATATATTACTGCGTTTCTTAATTGTTTTGTACTTTTATTTTTTTACATGGCCTGGTAGTGAGCGGTATGAGGATATTACCATATAATAAAAGGTTTTAATATGACTACAGTCTACCCAATAAGCCAGAGAAGCTTTTGGCAGACAACCAAAGCAGGCAACATTCAAAAAATGATAGAAAATGACAGACACAACTGTCACTGTCACGGATAATTTTGTTACACAGACTTATTATCTTATGGATCTTATGTTTGTTTCATTTATCTTTGGATTTTAGGTAGATTTGGTAATCAAGCAGATCACTTTTTGGGTGCTTTATCATTTGCAAAGAAGTTAAATCGAACACTGGTTTTACCAGCTTGGATTGAATATAGGTACGGTGAACGAAAGTCCATCCAGGTGCCTTTTGATAAATATTTTAAAGTTGAGCCATTAAGTAAATACCATAAAGTTGCCACCATGGAATTATTTATGAAGGAAATTGCACCATATGAGTGGTTACCAGAACAACGAGTAGCGTTTTGCTATATGGCTAGAGGTAAGACCAGTTAGCTATAGAGCTTTTAGATTGTACACTAGGGTGGCACCAAAAAAAAAATATATATATTTTTTAATTTTTTTACTGTGAAAATGTTATTCATGATGATTGAAAAAAAATTCTGGTGAAGTTTGAGCTCTTAATATTAATATTAAGATGTGTCTTATCCTGATTTTCTATTGTATAAATATTAATATTAAGATCTCAAACTTGAGTAATTAAAAGAAAAAAAAATGGTAATTATTAGGGAAAAATCGTCATATTTTCACCAAAATTGGTATACACCCTATTTTGAGGTCGTAGATTACGAATCTGAACTTTTTTCTTGGCGGGCTCTTGCCGTTTTTCAGAAAAAAACGGAAAATTATTTCAACATCGAATTTTTCTTAATTTCTCAAGGTTTTTTGGCACATATTTTGTTAGGTATTCAATAAACAATGATGTTATTGCTATTTTCTGTTACTTTTTTAACCGATTCTATGCATAATAGAGGAAAATTTGCTAAAATAAATTTGTAAACAATCTCAAAATGTTGGGTTATGTGTTTCTGGCATTTAAAGCAACGTTGCCAATGCTAAACCTAAATTTAGGGTGTTTTTTTCGCTCATTCTGGGATTACGAAAGGCGGTCGCCAGAAGAACGGCTCCTTCCCATAACTGCTTTTACCAACGAGATCTGACTATTTATAACCACGAAGTTGCACGAAAGAGTTTTGATTGCATTGGTTACAACTTCCATGCGGAGGGTGTTAATCTTTTGTTGTTATATTATATCAAAAAAGATTAACCCCCTCCGCAAAGAAGTTGAAACCAATGCAATCAAAACTCTTTCATGCAACTTCGTGGTTATAAATAGTCTTTATATAACTTCTTTGCGGTGGAGGTTAATCTTTTTTTGATATAATATAACAACAAAAGATTAACACCCTCCGTATGGAAGTTGTAACCAATGCAATCGAAATTCTTTCGTGCAACTTCGTGGTTATAAATATAACAAAAAAAAAAGATTAACCCCGTCCGCATAGAAGTTGAAACCAATGCAATCAAAACTCTTCCGCGTAACTTTGTGGATATGAGTATATATGTATATATACAAAAAAACAAAAAACAGTTATATACAGGGTTGTTCACCACATACGACACGGAGTATTGTAGCTAAACGATTATATTTTTACAAATTTCAAGTTTTGGGTTCGATGAAGGACTATTAGAGGTACAATTTAAAAATAATTTGACAAGATACAGAGTGTCCCAAATAAGTAAAAAATATCAAAGTTGTATTTTTTTAAATGGAACACCCTGTATATTATTACATTTTAGTTTCTACGATTAAAATAAAGGTAAAATTTGATTAGGGTTTATTATACTTAAACCTTACCGTTTTGAAATATTTTCAACTTTGGGAAATTGCAGTAAAAATTTTAAGGCTTCATTTCTCCAAGGGTATCAAAGTTTTTAATACTAAATATTTACTGAAGTTTATTTATTGATCAGTTATTGTGTTGCAATAATAAAAATAATACTACCTTATACAGAGTGTCTAAAAATTTATTTTAAATAATTTCTAGCTTTAAACGCCAATAACTTCTTTAATTTAAATGGAACGCCCTGTATATTTTAGAAGAATCAGATGCAGAATTTAATTGTCTATCAAATTGTATTATACCATTTTTACCTATTTCTTCAAGTTTTCGTAGAAAATGCATTTTCTTATAATTTAGACCCTATTTATCAATATACCCATGGAATATTGACATTTTAGATTGTTTTAAAGCAACAAATGTACAAAATGTACAGGCTAGTAATATTATCGTTTTTAGCAAAACGATAATATTACTAGCCCATTAATGTATACAAAAAGAAAACTATTTAAATCTTTATAAAAGAGTATACCATTAATTAAATATAACACCATTATTTCCACCCATATACTAATTAATTACATACTTAATTGTGTTCGTTAATAAATTATTCTAAATAAATGTGGATTTGAGTCAGAAATCAATATAATAATAAGTTATCAAAATTAAAGTCTCTGTTATAAATAAGTATTTATTAAAAAATGAAATATCATTTTTAAGGTATTTCTTTCTATCACACTGTCTAATACCCATACAAAATTCAGTTTTTTAGTATTTGGAGCAATTATTATTAATCAACGCAAACAGTCAGTTAATGTAGTTTGAATACTGGAATCATATTAATTGGTCCCCTTTAACAAATATTTAAACAGTTTTTTTTATTTTTTAATAAAATAAACAAATTGTATCGACAATATTAGTATCTGTACTCTTTAAAAATTTGGTACATCTTTAAAAATAATCTAAAATGTCAATATTCCATGGGTATATTGATAAATAAGTTCTAAATTACAAGAAAATGCATTTTCTATGGAAACTTAAAAAGATAGGTAAAAAATGGTATAATATAATTTGATAGACAATTAAATTGTGCATCTGATTCTCGTAAAATATACAAGGTGTTCCGTTTAAATGAAACAAGTTATTGCCATTTGAAGCTAATAATTATTTAAAATAAATTTTTAGGCACTCTGTATAAGGTAGTATAATTTTTATTATTGCAACAAAATAACTGATCAATAAATAAACTTCAGTAAATATTTAGTATTAAAAACTTTGATACCCTTGGAGAAATGAAGCCTTAAAATTTTTACTGTAATTTCACAAAATTGAAAATATTTCAAAAACGGTAAGGTTTAAGTATAATAAACCTTAATCAAATTTACCTTTATTTTAATCGTAGAAACTAAAAATAAAATAATATACAGGGTGTTCCATTTAAAAAAATACAACTTTGATATTTTTTACTTATTTGGGACACTCTGTATCTTGTAAAATTATATTTAAATTGTACCTCTAATAGTCCTTCATCGAACCCAAAACTTACAATTTGTAAAAATCTCATCGTTTAGCTACAATACTCCGTGTCGTATGTGGTGAACAACCTTGTATATATATATATAACTTTGTAAGATATGGCAACATTGTAAATTTTCAAATTTCTAGATTAAGTCTAGAATATATTTGTCTCTCTCATTACATAGGAGAGAGAAAGAAGGATATATGAAATGTCAAACTTCCATCCGGTCTCAATTTTCTTTGTTATTTTGTTAAGAAAAGTGTTTTTCAGTAAAATTTTGGACATTTTTCTCCAATCAAGTGTGGCTTTTAGATAAACTATAATATAATGAAAATATAGTGAAATTATTACTTTATAGGGCCGAAATAAGGAAAAATTCAATGTTGAAATAATTTTCCGTTTTTCTGAAAAACGGTAAGAGACCGCCAAGAAAAGAGTTCAGATTCGTAATCTACGACCTCAAAATAGCGTATATACCAATTTTGGTGAAAATCGGACGATTTCCAGTTTTCCCAATAATTACCAAAAATGTTTTTTTGGTGCACCCTATTATACAGGATGTCCCACTAAGAATAGCTCTCGGCTGTATCTCGGAAAGTATTAGTCGTAGAGCTTGCGGAAAAAATATTTATAACTAAAGAGGACATGAGAAATTGCTGGAAATTATTTTCGAGTTTGTAGAACTGCCACTAGAGGGCGCAACTGCTATAAAAAATAAGAAAATGGATTACAGTTGAGGGTTGGAAGCTTTGGTGTTACACAGCAAAATAAAATTACACTAAATCACCACAATACACCAAAACACTTTTACTTTTAAGAAAATGGAGTTTTTACACCATTTTGCCTAGATAACTAGTAATATAAATAATAGCCTCGATAATAGCTTAATAATCTTCAGAAAATTTTGAATATTTTTTGTTAGAACCATTTTCTCCTATCTGCCAAAATAAAGTGGTGGGGGAAGGTTTGATCTGTTTTTATTTAAATATTAATAACTTCGGACTGGATCATAGATTTAGTAAGAACAGAGACATTTAGACATTTTAACCCGATCAAACAATCGGAGGTTGACTACGTACTGTAAAAACCAACTGAGATAGAGAAGGCGACATTGCCGCATCTCAAATTTGCGTCTCTCCTCAGTTGCCGACATTGCCGCATCTCCTCAGTTTGATTTGCAGAAAAGGTGACTTTAAAACCTTTACCGGATATCAATAAATCTCAATTTCTTAATTAAATTAATAGTTTATTTTTAAAGAAGCATGCGTAATAATATGTTATTAACCAGAGGATATATGCGTTACTATTAAAGGACATGTTTACTGTTTAATGTGCTGAAACGTCTAGAACTATTGGCAACGTCGCTGCTAGTCTTCCAGAATGAAATAAGCCGTCCGTCTCACCACCCCTCGCGACGGCCCTTGGTCCGTTATCCGTTATAGCGTACTACGTTTAGCTTGCGGTGTGTTTGAAGTCGGAATCAAGACGAAAGTGAACTTTTCAGTGTTTTTCGGTGGTTTTTGTTTTTGTTTAACGCACTTTTGAATCTGCGAATTCAGTATGGTACGACAGTGTGAAGTGTGTGGAAAAATAAGCTCAAATTACCCGAATTTGTCTTTTCACAGGTGAATGTATTGTTTTCGTCATTGTACATAGGCGTCCCACAAAGGAGCCTCTCCCAATCAAAATAATTTTTAATTATATTTGTAATTAATCTATTAAAACAAGAACGTAGTAGCCAGTAATTGAATTATAATTCGTCTCAATGACTACCTAACTGTTGTAGATCATAACAAATTTGAATATAAACGTTGCATTTGAAATTTTATTATCAGCCAGAAAGTGACATTTTTTTCTTAAAATTGCGTCATTTCTTGTCATTATATATGATATTCTAAAGGAATTTTGCTCAACAAATAAACAAAGGTGTTACCCGACCTTTTTTACATTTTATTGCTTTATTATATCTGCCACTTCGGCCTTATTTAGACAATTTTTTACCACTGTACAAATACCTCTTCCTAGAGTTATTTGTACGGTGTGTTTACCTTTTTTTTAGAATGGGACGAACTGTAAATAATTCTTAGGCTACTAGTTTTATACATACCTATATATAGAGTG